GAAATACCTAGTTATATATCTCTTTTAAACAGTTTTCTCACTCCTCTGTTTCAGTGCAGTATACATTATTGAACCCATCTTACTCAGTCTCTCCCAAACCCCAAGGACAGTCCCATTCTACAACAGTGGCATCATGTAATATTTGTCCTTTTGTGACTGGGATATTTCACTCTAGCTGATGAATTTAAATCGCATGACTTTCCATTGGCAATGCAACTTCTTACCACCCTATATTTGTCCATATACAATGGAGAAATTAAAAGTACACATACAAACAAGTGCTTGCAAAAACCTTTTTTATTAATTTATAAAATTATCAATCTTTATTGATAGGTAGACAATGCTAGACTTCTGAGGGCCACAAGAGAATGAAGACTAGCTTGGCAGCATGTATGTTTCCCTCAACGAGGGAGTCTGGGTGCACTAGAAGCATATTACATTATCCAACTATCGACATCACAGTTCACATGTGGGTTGTCCTTCTCCACCACAGTGTAGCTGCAGTTCTCTTGGTGGAAGATTTTCTTGCACTTGTCTGAATTGTAACCAACAGGTGTAGAAATACTGTTATTTAGACAAGAGGGAAGTCTTGTTAGAAAGAAAAAAAAATGATCAGTCTCTCCAAAGTCAAGTTGGTATAGAGGCAACCTGTCCTTCAGCTGGCTGTGGTCCTGTTCATCAAGTTTAGGGAGCCCTATCTGTCCAGCACCAACTTAAGGACAGTAGTTGACTGGCAGCAACAAAATACTGCCTCTAGGAAACTCAGAACCGTCTCTACTATTGGTGGTGTTGAAATAAGGCAGAAATAAGGAGTTGCAGGGTGAAAAGTATATTGAAACAAATCCCAAAAGAGGGAAGGGAGAAGCTCATGCCTGGTAAAACATGAGCATCCATAGTAAAGGCTTTCTACAGCTGGAAGTAACCTGATTTGTGTTTATGTGCATGAGTGACACCAAAGAACAGTGGACTGGAATAAGAACCACTCACCAAACTTTGAACACTCCATGATGACACCTCATGAGCCCAGAGTCCAGCCACATGGCAAGCCCAGATACACCGGAAGCCATATATATGACCTCACCTCAGTTACACGCTGTCTCCTCCATTAATCCCTTTCCTTGGAAGGAAGGCCATTCCCATTCCTTTACTAATCAATCTGTCTTTGCTTTTTCCCTCCTGTCTTTTTGCCTTTCCTTCTACCTAGTTCTCCAATAAGGCCTCAGCCTACACTGGGACTGTTTTGAGCAAGACCAATAATGGCCATTCTGAAGACCCTATGTTGTATAATAAAATTGGCCTTTCTAAGGTTCCACCTCTACCCGCAACTTCTGTTCTCTTAAGTTGGTTCTCCCAAGGGCCACTGAAATTGTTGTGCACTGTGGTACTTCGGTAGTCTGGGCACCTTCCTCTATAGTCTCTCGTATCTGGGTGAATGGTTTTTTAACCTGGTGAGAGGAGGGAAGCCAGGGTAAAAACTGTATGGTAACACTATAAAGTCGTAAGAACTATCCCTCATATAATTTTCAAGTTCCATTCTTGACATACCAAGGGAATTGATGAGTTTTAATAGACTCAGAGCCAGATTGGCAATGTCATGGGTAGTCACCCTGTTCCAGCCTGGTTTTTCTCATGCTTCAGTTAGGAACAGCCAGCTGAAACATGAGAATAGTTGGTGTATACAAGAGATATAGTCTTTCTAATTAGAGGTAATTGAACCCAGAGAAAAGTTGATGAAAACAAGAGACCACCTCCCATATAGGCAATTTTAGGAATTTGTTGCTTCTTTAAAGGCCAGATTAAAACACCTCTTCCCAAAGTTTAATATCCTTAGATGGTCCCAGCTCTTGCAATCAGCTGCTAATACAAAGGCTGACAATTAGTATCCACTCTGTGGTACCCTGGATACAAAGGCCAAACAATCTTCTTCTTTAAAATCTGTAGCTAAGAAACCTTATGGAGAGCATGCCTCTGCAAGACATGAGGATGCCATGACTAGGAATGAACTCCACAGCAATAATATTGGGTTTTGCTCAAAGTTTACATAGAAATTACCATCCCTAGTACCCTTTTTTGACAATGTTTTGTTTGGTTGATTCTTATTTTGTCTGTTGTTTTTTTTTAAGTTACCATTTTAACTAAAAAAGATGTGTCAATATTCTTGGTAAAGAAAATCTGTAAATTGAACTGATAACCATAAAGAGACTTCTTCAGGGGTATTGGTGCCAATCTTGAGTCTAATTGAGAGAAGAGGTAATAGCAGACAGACCTAAGTTTGCACATGGGTGGGTTGGGTTGTGGGAGCCCACACCAAAACCCCTTCTAAATCCATTCCCTAGGATGACTCAAGAAAACAAGCTGTGAGCACAAGAAGCATTCACAGGTCCACAGATGACTTCAATGGGGAATTTTCTTCAGTTTTTGATTTCACACTTAAAATTGAGAATTTCACATAAAACCCTCTCCTACCTACCCCTAGCTGCTTTGTAAAGACAAAGGCATGACCATTCTAGACTAGTCTTCTCACATGGTCAAAAACTAGAGTAGGCTTGTATGAACACTGACCTCACCACAGTCTGTCACCTACCTCACCTGCCAATCCTCAGAGATTTGCACTGTGAGTTTTTATTAAGTAGAAAAACATTACCTGTGTCATGTCTACCTTGTTGTTGTTGTTGTTGATTGTCTTTGAGTCGAACATGACTCATAGTGACCCTATGAATAAAAGGCCTGAAGCCCCTCTACAACTATTGGCATTTATCAAAGTTTCTGAAGGCATGTTTTTAGGAAGTGGATGCCACTAACAAATATCAGTGATTACCAGAGGTGACAGGGAGAGCTAAGGAAATGTTTCCATTGGGAGAAACGACTTTATGTTAATGGAAGAAGAGTATTTTGGGAAAAGAAATGATATGTTCGATAATGAAGAACTTAAATATATAAATAAACTTCACTACATTATACATGTGAAGAATGTAAAACTGGTGAATATTTTTGCAATGAAGCAACATGTTTACAGTACAAATGAAGTTGCAGATAATTCTTAAGCTTCAAATTCAACTCTTCTAACTTTTCTCAGAGTCATCCTTATTCCTTCAAATTGCCCAAATGGCTAAAAGAAAGAATTGGGCAACTTTTACAAGATTCTTAAACCACCTGATGATGTCTGTCATTGAATGGTGCCTATCTACATCGTATGTTGATGACATAACCTCTGCTGCCTGTAAATGTGATCAATCATGTTCAGAAATAGGGATTTTCTTTTCTTATGTTAATAAGATCATACAAGAGTAGAGTTGGTCTAAAACCTCGTCACTCTTAAGTGGTGTCCTATAAAAAGAACAGAACGTACACTGTTGTTATATGCCATTGAGTCACCTGTATATACAATAACTCTGAACCCTGCCTTGTCCTGAGCCAGTCTTAATGACTCCAACACACTTACCTCATTGCCCTAGTTACCATCTTAATCCATCTAATGTGGAATCCTTCTGTCTTGTGCTGTCCCTCCACTCTTCCTTCTCCAAGGTCAGATCTCTCTTGGCCATGAACCCAAAGTATGTGAGAGGGAGCTTCAAAACCCTTGCCTCCAAGGAGAAACATGATTTCACCCTCTCAAAGACAGACCTATTTGTTTAGCTCGTGGTCAAATGTATATGCAATACTCTTCTCCAGCATCACAACCCAGCAAAACAGATGCCAAGAAACTCTGGGGGTTACTGACAAAGGACTTTCCCCTAGATTCAATGCCATAAGTTTAACTTTTAGCATCCAAAAACTATGACATTGTAAATTCCTGTTCTTAAAAGATATTCACTTATGATATTTTGTGTTTGTTGGTTTTGTTGGCTACACTAGAGAGTAAAGATTTCCTGCCTTCATCTATCCATCTGAATGTAACCTAGTACTGTTGAATGAGTTTTGGTCCACAAGCAACCCTCCATTGAGTTTCCAAGGCTGGAAATATTTACAGAGGATACTACTCCTTTTTCTCCAGCAGAGTGGGTGGTGGTTTTTATGACCTTTCAGCTAGCAATGCAGTGTGCAATGCACTATGCCATTAGATATCCTTTATATGATAAAGGTACCACTCTGGTGGCTCTAGTAGTAAGGAGCTATGCTGCTTGCCAAATTGACAGGAAAGTATGTGGTTCGAATCCACCAGCTACTCTGTGGGAGAAAGATGAGAAATCTCCTCTCGTGCAATTTAATGCCTCTGAAAACCCACTAGAGCATCAGCTTTAGTTTGGTTCTGACTTGATGGTACATAACAACAATAGTAAAGGTATTTCTAGAGATGCAAAAGCAACTGGAAAGAAGTAGGATTAACAACTAGAACCCCTGTGGGTTAACATTATAAAAGAGTGAATAACTGTTTTTCAGTGAGCAGCCCTACAACAGTCAGGTACTTAACCAAGTACTCACATGCTACAACATTGAATTCCATCCCTCCAGCATGAACATCGCTCACATTTCTCTGTTTCCCATGCTGTGTTCATAGGGTGCATTATCCCATTGTCATCCTTGCATTCTGAAATGATGGATAAAGCATCTTTAGTAGACTCCATACATTGGTAACTAGGTTTTTTGAGATAGAAAGACCATCCCCTGCCACTTGAATCTATCCCAAAAAGGGACACATTTGAACTGTAAAGACTATATTAAAAAAAGTTTTTCTGTGTTCACCTATGGTTATGTTCCAGCACAATCTAACTGAGGCATGTGATCTCCCCCCCCCCTTAGAACATGTTTATATTCTTCAAGATTTTTCTTTCAAAACTGACATCTCAAGAAAAGAGTCCTCTTCTGTAAAAGCAAGGATGGTGAGGATTTGTCTCACTATCTCTTGGGCACTTTGTTAGGAAGCAGGAAATCTTGGAAAGGACATCATGCTTGAAAATGCAAAGAGTCAGCAAAATATTAAGACTTTCAATGAGGTAGATTGGCCCAGTGACTGTAACAATAAGCTTTAGTGTATCAGAGATGCCGAGGATGGCACAGTATAGGACAAGGTTCAGATGCCTTGTTCTTAGATTTGCTATCAGTCATAAGTTTACTTGACAGCATCTAACAACAAGAACCTCTATAATGAGGTTGTCTTTTAAGTTAATGAGGAACGTGAGGACATGTTTGTTGTCTGTGTGTTTTCCCCCCCTGATGAGTTATCTCTTGATAAACATTTTATTTCTCCACTTTCACCCATTTTGGAACTTGCTTCTCAATTCTGGCTCTGAGTGTGTGCTATTTAAAAACAGCCATTTAGAACAAAACTAAATCTTTACCTGAGCCTTGTTCTAAAATACTAAAACCAAAATATCCTTGGGGATATGCCATCCAGAAATGGTAATGAGGGAGAGTGTATTACTTAATTTCAAGAAGTCTTAATACAGACTGAGATAACTCATTTAAACTAAATACCTGTCACTGGCTCCTTGCTCTTTCCGGACCTGAGAAAAAGTTCTCTCAAGTGAATAAAAAGATCACCCAAAAGTGATCCTTGATGATTAAAGTATAATTGGAGTATATTACTATTATACTCAGAGAAAAAGTGTTGGATAGCTTTCATGGACTGTACATGAGAGTCAACTAGGAGCTTTTAAACATGTAGATACCACCCAGAGGTCCTTCTTTACCTTGTCTTAGATATGACCCCATTGTTGGTAAGATTCCCAAATGTTCCAACCTTCTTTCTCATGTGATTCAAAGTCAACAGTCACAGGCTGCTATGACATCATCAGCATTGAAAAACCAAGACTTACCAGTGGTTGATTTGCCTGAAACTTTCTCGATTGGTATGATATAGCAATATGCATTGCATGAAACCACAAAGGTGGCAAGGACCACAAGGGTACCCAGGAACCCCTTCTGAAATGAAAAGAAAGAACAGGAATGGAAAAGAAACTAATTCAGATAGTAAACACTGACAAAGTATCATGTGCAAGGAGCACTGCTGGCCTTTGAAAGGTAGGTTTACAGGTGAGGTTGTGGTTGTTTTTTATAGCAATTATGCTTTATTTAGAATATGCACTTTTGTTGAAAGCTGACTGAGGCTTAACTGGTATTAGCCTGACAGGTAGTTATAAAGTGGTAACCTTATATTACTCAGGTAATATAAGGTTCACAAGACTAAACAAGCTGCAAAGATACAGTGTAGGAAGAGCTAGATATGAGGCAAAGTCATAAAACAGCAACAGTAATTCTTTTATTCTACAAGTTCTGCAATCCCTTGTTGTAAGGCAATTTTTAGCTGCTTTGCAGAAAATAAACTGAGTTTAAAAGACACGAGAGTGTCAAGGATAGAACAGAGTACTATGAAGTAGTAGGTCAAGAAATGTCAGACATGTGGCTGGGAAGTTCAGTGAGGGTGAGGTTGAATATAATATAGGCCATGAGGCTTAAAACTTCCTTTTTTCATACGATAACAAATTGTTTGGCTAGATGAAAAAGAATCAATTAATCTGAGTTACACCTGCAACTATAGAACTATAGAAGGAAAAACAAGTTCCTCTTGTCATCTTTTTGAGATAAGCAATCTAAAGACATACACAGACTTGATATGGAAATTCTCAGGAAAATGAAGATAGGAGTGCCTGGTTCTGCAGTGTGTCTAAATACAATCATTGCACAATGATACAAAATCACAATACAATATATAAAAGGGAGCTCTGGTGGTCTAGTGGGAAGAAGCTGCTCTGCAATCTCGAAGACATGCAGTTAGAATCCATCAGCTGCTCCGTGGTAGAAGGATAGGCGATCTCCTGTGTTTTTAACTGCCTCTGGAAACCTGCTGGAGGATCAGCTACGGGTTGGTTCTGACTCGACAGTACACAACAACAATATATGAAAAAGCAGAAAATCCAGAAATTATATTTGCTAATATTTAAAAAGGTTAATGATAAAATATTCTTCATCTTTGAAATCTGTACAAAGTGATTATTCAATAGATTATTGTTGAAAAAGAAATTATTTGGAAAAGACATAGAGCTAATTGTCAACTTTCCTTCCCCAGTGAAATAAGTTCTGAAAGAACACAAGGGTTAAATTTTACGATATTTGAAAACTCTCTAAAGTACTCAGGAGCAACGGTGTCTCTCTGGAGACTAAGGTGCGCCTGATACAGGCCATGGTCTTTGCAATCGCTTGTTACGCATCAGAGAGTTGGACAATGACTAGGGAGGACAGAAGGAGAGTGGATGACTTTGAGCTGTGGTGCTGGAGAAGAGTACTGAATGTACCATGGACTGCCAGGAAAACAGATTCATCTTGGGGAGGATTAAACCAAGCTACTCCTTGGAGGCAAGGATTCTGGGGCTTCGTCTGACATACTTTGGACATGTTGCCAGGAGGGACGGGTCCTTGGAGAGGGACATCATGATTGGGAGGGTGGAGGAACAGTGCAGGAGGGGAAGACCCTCTATGAGATGGATTGATTTGGTGACTGGAGTAATTGGGATGGGTGTGTCAGAGGCAGTGCGGTTGGCGCAGGATAGAGCAGGGTTTAGGGCTGTTGTGCATAGGGTCGCTATGAGTTGCAAACGACTCGATGGCACATAACAACAACAACAGCAACAAAATTAGATGTAAATATATACTTATCTCATTCTAATCAAAGAAGGAAAAGAAGTAGATTTGAATACCTACTTTCATTATTGGGAGCTCTGATGGCCTAGTGGTAAGAATCTGAACTGCAATCCCAAATGCACACAGTTTGAATCCAGCAGTTGTTTAGTGAGAGAAGATTAGGCAGTCTCCTCCAGTGCCATAAACTGCCTCTGAAAATCTGCTGGAGGGTCAGGCATGGGTCTGTTCTGTCTCGACGGCATCCAACAACAAAGACAACAACTATTTTAGTATATAATTTACAAATGAATTTAAAATTTATACAATCATAAAAAATTTAGATGCCATTATAAAAGATATAGAACAATATTGAAGGAGTTTCTGCATATCTATGGGGAAAGAAAATTATCCTTATAGAAAAATTATGAAAGAAGTAAAATGGTACTGTATAGACACAAATAAAAATAGAAAGGCAAATTTAATAATAATTAAAGAAATTAGATGGCTATGTTGTTGATGATTGCTGTTGAGTCGAGCGCGACTCATTGCGACTCTATGAACAAAAGACCAAATGCCTTTCCATAACTATTGTAATTTCTCCAAGTTCATAGAGTTTCCAGAAGCATGTCGTTTAGGAAGTGGATGCCACTCCTACTTTCAAACCTGTTTTACAACTGGGAACTCAATCACCAAACACTGTCCACATAGGGAAACCATTCTGGTATTTGATACCCCAGAGGTACAAGGTTCAGCATCACAGCAAACTCAGGTTACTTCATATTGCACATTGACAAGGAGTGAGATACAAAGAAGAAGAGTGTTCCTCCAGATATAACAGCACTAGTTTCATTTAGCAGTTTAAAAGCGTCGTCAAATCGAATACGACTGAAAATAAGTTTTGCACAATTTAGAGAGTTTGTAGAGTTTCCAGAGGCATCTATTTAGGAAATGGATGCCACTCCTGCTTCCCAGCATAAATCAATCTGGAAGCTCATCCAAACACAGTACATATGGGTAACCATTATCGTATTTGACAAGACTTGATTTGATGCAAATCAAAACCACAATGAAATACCATCTCATCCCAGTAGCAGTGGCAAAATTTAGCAGAGCAGCAAGCAATAAATTTTGGAGAGGATGTGAAGAGGTGGGAACTCTCGTACACTGTTGGCGTGATTATAAAATGGTACAACCACTTTGGAAGACTGTTTGGCATTCCTTCAAAAAGTTAAGCATGGAAACCCCATATCACCCACTACTAGGACCAAAGGCCAAAGAAATTAGAACTGAGACACAAATGGAGATCTGTACACCAATGTTCATAACAGAGTTATTTATCTTCAAAAGAATATGGAAACAGCCCAAATGTCTAACCACAACTGAATGAATTGAGAAATTATGGTACTTTGACCAAAGAGAATACTTACTATGCAGCACTCAAGAGCAATGATTTTGAAAAATATGACAGAACTTGGGAGGGACTGGAGAGCATCATGCTGAGTGAACTAACTCAGTCTCATAAAGACAAAACCTGTATAAGACCGTTATTGTAAAATTAGAAGGATAACTAATAAAATATGTATGGGACCTCAAGGAGAGAAGGAGTAGGAATGGAGGGGTGAGGATGGGTAAGAGCAAAACCAAAGGGTTGCACAGTTTGGAGAGTGGAGGAGGGCTGGAAGGATCCTGGTGAAAAGACAGGGTAATGATGGCCAAGGTTCAGTGGTGAGTCAGAATGATTTTATGAAACCCAATGAGAATGAAGAACTGTGTGAAACACAATGCATACTTTGTGAGTATATCAATGAGAAAAGAAAAGAAAAAAGAAATTAAAAGTATGGAGTAACTGGGGGGAAAAAACAATCAGAAAACCAAAACTGTTAGACCCAGTAAATAATTTAGTAGAGTGGCAGAATACAATATCAATATACAAAAATCAGTAGGTTTTATCTACAGCAACAAAGAAAACACAGGAAAGGAAACTAAGGAAGCAATACTATTTACAGTAATCAACCATAAGATGATTTATTCCATTTATTCCTTGGGAATAAACTCATCCAGAGACACTAAAGCCCTTTATAAGGAAAACTACAAAATAATACAAGAAAAAAAGTGACCTAGCTAAATAGAAAAATATTCCCTATGCAAAGGGAAGAAGATCAACACAATGAAAGTGGAAATCCTACCAAAAGCAATCTACATGCTTAACACAGTCCCAATACAGATGCCAAGCTCATTTTTCAAAGAGATAGAAAAAGCAATTGACAGGTTTATATGGATAGAAAAGAGACTCTGAATAAGCAAAATTCTTCTGAAAAAGAAAAATGAAGTGAAAGGCATAGCACTCCCTGATCTAAAAACCTGCTATATGGCTGTAGTACTCAAAACAGTATGGCACTGGTACAATAACAAACACTTAGAGAAATAGATTTGAGAATCTAGAAATTAACCCATTTATCTATAGCCATTTGGTATTCAACAAGGAATCAAAACCTATCAAATGGGGAACTGACAATCTCTTCAACAAATGATGCTGACAAAACTGGACGTCTGCCTGCAGAAAACTGAAACAAAATCTACATCTCACACCATATAAAAAAATCTACTCAAGGTGGATCAGAGACCTAGAGGTAAAGCCCCAACCCTAAAGATCATAAGAGAGAGGATAGAATAAATATGCTTGCAAATATAGCCAGAAATGTACAACCAGCAGAGAACAACTGACTAGTGGGTCCTTCTAAAAATTAAGCCTCTGTGCACATCAATTTTTTTCCCGATAGGATGAAAAGAAACCCGACAGACTGGGGAAAAATATTTGACAATGACATTTCAGGCAAGGTTCTTATAATGAAAGTTTATAGAATTCTACAGGGTCCCCACAAGAAAAAGACTGATAACCCAATAATTCACAAAAGAATATACTCAGATGGCCAAGGGACACATGAAGAAATGTTCAAAATCACTATCAATCAGAGAGCAGCTAATGAAAACAACAGTGAGATACCATCTCACCCCAGGAGCAGTAACAGAGTTTAATAGGACATAAACAGTAAATATTGGAAAGGATGTGGAGAAATTGAAACTTTAAAGCATTATTGGTGACATTGTAAAATAATATAACCACTCTGGAATATAGTTTGGTGTTTTCTCAAAAAGCTGAACATAGAAATCCCCTATGACTCAGCAAATTGAGATTTGTACAATTATATTCATAGCAGCATTATGCCCAACAATAAGAATATGGAAACAACCCAAATACTATCAACAAACAAATGGATTGAGAGATTGTAATACATTCATACAATGGAATACTATGCAGCAATATGGAATAACAATTTTGTAAAATAATACTGGAGTGTTTTGTAAAATAATACTGGAGTGTTTATAAAGTATTATGAAGAGAAGACTAACTCAGCCTCATAGGGATCTGTATAAGGCCTTACTTATAATCCTGTGCAAGACCATTACTGTGAAAATTAGAAGGATTATAAGGAAAATGTCCAATTGGTGATGAGGTAAAGAGGAAAAGGGCAGAACAAGGGGAAAGGTGGAAATCACTAATATAGCAATTTAGTGGGTGGATTGAGGAGAGGAGGTTAAAGGAACAGGAAAGATTCAATGGGGACTTGAAAAGATGATGTAATAATAGGCAAAGGATCAATGATAACTATGTAAAATAACTATATATATATGTAAATGATTGTAGAACAATCAATATAATATAAATGCAATCACAAACAATATAAATGAAGGTTGTACAATATATATTGATGAAATACAATAAAATTTAATTGCGATATGGAACACAATAAGAATATTACATATGCACATACACTATTTTACATGTATACAACAATAATTATACATTTAAATATTCATATATTGTGTTGTCATGCACCATTGAGCCAACTACAACTCATTGCAACCCTCTGGACAATGGCTATGCATCTTGCCCTATCCTCAGCTAACCTAACCGTCTCAACACACCTGACACTCCATTGCCACAGTCACTGGGTCAATTCATCTCATTTAAGGGCTGCCTCTACTGTGCTGACCCTCTATCCTTCCAAGCTAGATGACCTTCTCCCAGGACCATTCCCTCCTAGCAACATACCCAATGTATGTGAGATGGAGCTTCAAAATTCTTGTCTCCAAAGAGCAAAGTATATGTATAATAACCACTAAAACCAAAACCACAACAAAAAGGAAAGTCCATTATGAAGATGCCTCTCCAAATTTTATTTGCTTTTTCTGTCGTATTAGCCATGTCTTGTTCTCTACTGTTTGAGAGTTGTTCTTGTTACATACTGTGGCATCAGAACCAACTCCTCATAGCTGACTCTTCAGCAGGTTTTCAGAGGGAGTAAACTGCACAGCAGGAGCTTGCCCTTCTTTTTTCTTTCACAGAACAGTTGGTTGATTCAAACCTTATGTTAGTTTATTACGTTAGGGAAAGTATCATTTCATTGTGACATTGTCATGAATGTTCTACAGCAAAATACATATAAGTAATTTGATAGAAAACCAAGTTCATTTGTAAAATTTCACTTAAATCATACACACATACATATAAAATAGATCTTGAAATTGTCTGACTATCAATGCAACACGTCATCAATTTTTCATTTTCAGCATAGTATACTATACAACTGTCTAATCTCATTAATGCCTAAAATGTTGATGTTCATGTGTTACATTTAATTTTTCTTGTTTTCCAAAATTAATAATTTGTATATTCAATGTTCTAACTAAAAAGGATGTTTGCAGTGGTTTCTCTTCATTTTAATTGACTTCCAAATCTAGCTCTACCTAACCCTATTTAATATAATCCAACACTATATAATATTATATTGTATTGTATATATCCAGGAATGACTAGAACAGTACATAGACAGATAACTATCAGAAATACAAGCTGGGTTTAGAAGAGGTCATGGCATAAGAGACATTATTGCCAATGTCAGATGGATTGTGATAGAAAGTAGAGTACCAGAGGAGTGTCTATCTGTGGTTTCTTTGACTATGCAAAGGCATTTGGCTGTGTACATTACAATAAATTATGGCTAACCTTGAGGAAAATGGGAATCCCAGAATACTTCATTGTGCTTATGCAAAATCTATGCTCAGACCAGAAAAACAGTCCTCAGAACAAAGCAAGGAAACACTGCATTGTTCAAAATTGGGAAAGGAATACTTAAGGGTTGCATCCTGTCTTCATATCTTTTCTTTTTTTTTAATTTTTTATTTTTATTTTTTTATTTTATTCTTTTTTGTGTGCGTGTACCGTCAAATCAGATCTGACTGGTACAGGAGGAGATTGCCCCTCCTTCCCCGGCAGAGCATCTGGTGGATTCGAACCGTGCACTTGTGGGATTGTAGTTGCAGCTTCTTGACTTTTCAATCTATATGCAGAACAAATCATTCGGGAAGTAGGGCTTTAAGAGGAGGAATGTGGCATAAGGATTGGAGGAAGACTCATCAACAATCCATGTTATGCACATGCACAACCTTGCTCGCTGAAATTGAGGTGAACCTGAAGCACTTGCCTAGAAGGTCAAGGACTGTAGTTTTCAATATGGATTGAAGCTTAACATCAAGAAGACAAACATCCTCACCACTGGGCCAGTTGGCAGCACCATGATGTATGGAGAAGAGATTAAGGTTGTTAACAGTTACAACTTGCTTGGCTCCACAATCAACTCTCTTAACACCAGTAGTCAGGAAATCAAAATACAAATTGCCCTGGGAAAATTTTCTGCCAGAGACTTCTCCAGAGTGCTGAAAAACAATGATGTCAGTCTAGAAACCAAGGTGTGCCTGATCCAGTCCAGGGTCTTTGTAATTACTTGCTATGTGTCAGAGAGCTTCACAATGACTAAGGATGACAGAAGAATCAATTCCTTTAAATTGTGGTGCTGGAGAAAAGTCTTGAACAAACAATGGACTGCCAAGAAAACAAATAGTTTTGCCTTGGAGAGGGTGAAACCAAGTTTCTTTTTAGAGGCTAGGATTTTGATGCTCGGTCTCACATACTTAGGGCACATGGCCAGGAAGGTGGAGGGATAGGGCAGGGGAGGAAGACCCTGGATGAGATGTATTGACATTGTGACTGGGGCAATGAAGGTTGGTGTGTCAGAATTAGTGAGACTGGCTCAGGAAAGGGCAGGTTTCAGAGCTGTTTTCCATAGGGTTGTTATGGGTCACAGACAATTCGATGCCACATAACAACAACAACAATAACAACTATATATAATACTGCAACTATCATTGTTCCTCTATTGTCCCAGCCTGAATCTCAGGCACCCGTTCTATGGTAAGGCATTCTCTCTCTGGCAGTCGGGAGGTAGGACCTCCAGAAGAAGTTTTGAAGCATTGAACACTAGTGATTAAATATCAGATGAGTTGTGGGATTACATCAAGGATACCATCCATGAAGAGAGCAAAAAGTCATTTCAAGCAGAGGAGAAAGTAAAAAAATTGAAAAAAAAAAAGGAAAAGACTGAAAATTTTCAGTTGTGTGCCAAGAGGCCAAAACAAAGGGAAGAAATGTTGAATAAAAGAGCTGCACAAAAGATTTTAAAGGGGCATTTGGAGACTAAAAAGGGGAAACTCGCTCAGCATTTCTCAAACTAAACTGAAAAACAAGTTTGAAGTTTTGAGTTGGAATACTTAGAGATGCTATAGGCAAAATCTTGAATGTCCCAGGAAGCACCAAAAGAAGATGGAGGGAATACACAGAATCAAGGTATTAAAAAGAATTTTGCATACTGAAATGTCTTAGGAAGTAACTAAATGATTAAAAGCCAATGATAATGAAGGAAGAATTTCAAGCCGCAATGAAGGCATTGGTAAAAATTAAGGTCCCAGGGATAGATGGAATATCTGTTGGCATGTTTCAGCTATCAGATGCAGCTCAGTATGTGTTTATCAGTCCAAGAAATTTGGAGGACAGCTGCCTGGCCAACTGATTAGAAGAGATTCACATTTTTTCCTGTTCTAAAGAAAGGGGATCCAATAGAAAGTGGAAATTATAAAACAATATCATTTATATCTGTAGGGGTTAAACTGACGAAGACAGGAACTGCCTGGGTTAAATACAAGTCAAACCCCCTGCCCTAAGACAGCATAATTTTAACTTTCACACTGAAACTGCCTTCTAATAAAGATATAGTCATGAAAACAGGAAAGGTCCGCACATAAGAAAAAAGAGAGTATAAAACATGTTGGAGAAGTTGAACTCTATGAAGAAGAATGTGATATCAAGATTGGAGGAAGACTTATCAATAGCTTTTGCTATACAGATGATACAACCTTGTTTGCTGAAAGTGAGGAGGATTTTAAACATCTGCTGCAGAAGTTTAAACACTGCAGTTTGAAACCTTCAATATAGATTGCATATCAATGTCAAGAAAGCAGAAATTCTCACCGATAGGCAACATCATGATAAATTAAAAAAAATTGAAAATGTCAATGACTTCATCTTACTTGGATTCACAATCAATGATCCTTGCACCATCAGTCAGAAAATTAGGAGATGTATAGCTCTGGGAAAATCTGCAGTCAGTCAAATTGTTGAGGAGCAATGAAGTTGACTTAAAAACTAAAGTGCACCTGATTGAGGCCAAGTCTTTTCAATCACTTGCCAAGCACCAGTGAGCTGGACAATGAATAAGAATGACAGGTGAAGAACTGATATCTTTGAGATTTGGTGTTGAGGAAAATCACTGGCTATCTCCTGGACAGACTGCCAAAAGAACAGATATACATTGGGGAAGGTACACCCAGGGTGCTCCTTGGAGCCGAAGATAAAAATGCTTCGTCTCACATACTTTGGTCATGTTACTAGGAGAAGTTGTTTCTTGAACATCATGCTTGGAAAGGTGGAGTGAGAGTGAAAGAGAGGAAGATCCTGAACCAGATGGCTTGACACAGTGACTGCAGCAATAGTCTCAAGTGTGCCAGAGATTGTAAGGATGACACAGGATAGGTCAGGGTATCTATTGTTTATCCGGTTATTATGGGTAGTATCTGACTTGATGGCACCTAACAACAACAACAATATATAATATGATGTGAAGAGTGTTTATCATTCAGCAAAATGGTAGCTTGACTTATAAAATATACATTATCACTCATAGTTAATGTATTCCATTTAAAAAATCAACTATAATGCACACCCATGTTTATTGCGGCTTGTTCACAATAGCAAGGAGTTGGAAACAACCTAAGTGCCCATCAACAAAGGAATGGATAGAGAAGCTGTGGTATATTCACACAATGAAATACTACGCTGCACTGAAAAACAAGGAACTCATGCAATATTATTCAAAATGGGTGACCCTGGAGGACATTATGCTGAGTGAAGAATCTCAGTCACAAAAGGACAAATACTGCATGGTGCCACTGTTGTAACACAGGACTGACATCGGGGTTGGGGGGAGACCGAGAAAGAAGGGTTCAATAATGTATACTGCATTGAAACAGACGAGGGAGAAAACTGTTTAATAGGGATGTGTGATTAGTTATTTTTGTCATGACAGGAGTCCAGAGCAAAGGCTGCATAGTGGAGTAGACGTAGGAGGAGGGATTGAAAAACAATGAAAGAATTTTTAACTTTTCCAAGAGGGTGGTGTGCTGGGGGGGGGAGGTTTGGGAGGGGAGAAAAGCGCAACAATGAATGAATGGAAATCCAAAGTCTCTGTAAATTTTCATTGAAATTAATAACAATTTTTTAAAAAAAAATCAACTGTATTAGAACAATGGTCAACATTTAACCAAAAGCAAAGACAAGAAGGCATTGAGGGGAGGACCTCTCCATTTCAGTTACTTGTGTTTCTATGAAAGCAGCAAAACCGGTTAAAATCATGAGAATTCTGATAAACTGAAAAAACTGTAATCAATATAATAAAAAAAGCATAAAAATTCTTAAATGAAACCTTAATTTAAAGTGTAAACTCCCCCCCAAAACACAGACAAAATCATTAATAGACAATTTTGTG